TCTTGGTCCCAGCCTGGACAGACACAGGGTCAAGGACTCTAATTGACCACTTTAGCTTTGGGAACCACAGGGCTGAAAATCCTAGGAATGATTTAATTCTATCTGAGCCACATAGCCCAGTCCAGGCCTGTAGCAAGAGCTGGGCACTGGCTGGTGGCTAAAGCTGAATCTTCCAAAGCTTACAGAGAGGGGTCGGGGTCATCAGCTTGAAGTCAGGGACTATGGTGCCCATTTCACAGATGTGGTACCTGCATCCCAGAGAGTACAGGGCCCCTACTCATCCTCAATACTCAAGAGGTGCTGGGCCAGCCACATGACTCCATGGGGGCCAGAACCACACTCAGATCCAGTCTCTGAGATCCTCTCTGAAGGCCTGGGTGGACCCCATGCCACCAGAGATGGGCCATGGAAACCAGCCTTGCTTCCTCTCCCAGGATCATAGTCCCATTCCCCAGCTAACCCAGGTGCCAGGTTAGCTTCTCCAGGGCCCACCCTGAGCACTCTTCTAGTCTTTTTGCTGTAAGGGCCAGCTCTACCACATGTGAGACCTGTAGATGGGGGGCCAGGGCAGCTCAGGTCTCCAGATGGAGAAGGGTTTCCCACCCCAGCCACCCCACCTCTCAGAGCAGAGGCAATCTATCATCACCTCAAAATTCCTCCAGCCCCTGCCCATTGCCAAAACCACTTCCATTTTTAGGTATTTGTTACAGCAGCACTTCAAGTACCACAATCTGTATTAGTTTCCTATTGGTGCTATAACATATTACCACAAATCCAGCAGCTTAAAGCAACACAAATTTAATCATCCTCCAGTTCTGGAGGTCGAAAATCCAAAATTAGTTTTACTAGGTGAAAATTTAGGTGTTGGCAGGATTCTACTCTTTCTTGAGGCTCTAGGGGAGAATCCATTTCCTTGCCCTTGCCAGTGTCTAGCGGCTGTCTGCATTCCTTGGCTCACGGCCCTTTGCTTCGGCTGCCTCACTGTGACCTCTGCTTCCCTCATATCTCTTCTGATAGCCCAGCTCTCCTCTTCTAAGGACACGTGTTGATTACACTGAGCCCATCTGAATAATCCAGAATAATCTTTCCATTTCAAGACCCTTAACTTGATCACACCAACAAAGTTCCTTTTGCCAAATTCACAGGTTTGGGGGATTTAGGACACGAGCATCTTTGGAGCCATTTTCCTATCTGTCACAGGAGGGGCACGGTAGCTTTGGCACTCCCACGCCCCATCCAGGGGGCTGATCTAGGACTGAGGAGTCATGATGGGGGGGATCAGGCTGCTATTCTGGCCAAGACTCTGGCTGGGGGCTGGCTGGAGCCCAGAGCTCCAGGAAACCTGGCGCCTGCCCCTGCTGCCGCCAAGGACAGCCTGTACTCCTGGCGCAGCCACTGTGCACAGATCAGGTGCACTTGAGCCCATTAGTAGCCATGGCTCAACTTGAATAGCTGTCTAGCTCGGATGGGAGGTTGGGCCCTCATGGCTTCTTCTCCCTACTGGTTAGAATATGCAAAAGCTGCTATCAGAGCAGATGTGAGCCACACAGGAAGTTCCAGCTTCATTCTAAAAAAACACATATATTGTTGGTTTATTAGTGGATATGACTGACCTTGGGGTGTACCAGACCCACACAGGGCCCTGGAGAGATGAGGGAGACCAGAAGGTTACCAAATGCATGAGGCAGAATGTCACTGGTATTGGCAGAAGTTTCAACTAGGGGCTGGCAGGGAGAAAGAGAAATCAGGAAAGGCAGGTGTTCTGGAGGAGGCAGCATTTGTGTTGGAGCTTAAAGGAAGGGATCGTTAGGACTGGCAGTGGTGGGCAAGTCACTCCTGATGGGAGGCATACCTAGAAGAAGGGAAGGAGTTGCGTTTAGGGAATGGAAAGTTCTGCAAGGAGGCTGCAGTCCAGGGCTGTGGACAGGGAAGGACATGCTGGTCTGAAAAGGTTAAAGCAGTTCTCAAAACTGTTGAGCAGTAGAACCCATTGTTTTAATGGACAGGAGTGCTTACTCAAAGCGCTGATGGGGCCCTAAAAGGGTTCCACAGGGCCTTTCCTGGAGCCATCCTGCCATACCTCTTCAGACCTGGACTCTGTAAGCCACAGCAAACACACTCAAGTTATGATGAGACAGCCATGGGTTTGAGGCAGGGATTGGCAGCAGTTAATGGCTCAGGGTTCAGTTGGGGGGGGCAGAAAAGGGTTTGGGGGGCACACTTCAATAGAGCAGCTAGATGAGCCCTCATGGAGAAACGCATGGACAGCTAGGACAAGCATCCAACTGTGAGGCAAAGTCTTGGTTTCCTCAACTGTCAGCAGAGGGGATGGAGTTGCTTTCAGAGTACATCAGTCAAGGACTCCTTCACTCGGTGCCCATGCTTAGGGCTTGGCTGAAGGAGGCTGGACAGGCAACAGGCACATCCCTCAAGACCTCAGGGACCTGAAGATGGACTGTATCATCAGTTTCATGACACATGCCAGAGGGGACAACTCATCACTTGCTCTGGCCCCAGGAAAGCAGGAGGACAGGGCAGGTGAGCCTGGCTTTCTCCAGGCAGAGCCACCGGCCGTTGTGACCTGGACCTCAGGACATTCAAGCCCTGTGAGGAGGGACAGGAGGGGCTGAGGGAAATCTGGGCAACCAGGCTACCAACCTCTCAGGGGCTCTATCTCCAGAGGGCAGGTAGAAGTCAAGAGCCCAAGAGTAAAATCCCAGCCTTCCCTCCTTTCCAGACTGCCATGACTCTGCCTGCTTTGCATTGGTGACAAGCACCTGACAGACCCATGAGGGTACACAGGCCCTCCATCTCCCCACATCTGCTCTCTGAAGCAGCAGTGAAAACACTCACAGTGCCCCATGGAAGGTGCATCCCAGTGACTCCTCAGAACCATCCTATGAGATAAAGCATGTAGTTCCGTTATTAGGTATGGAAGCCAAGCTGAGGGAAGTGAAGTCACCTGCCCAGGGTCACATCTCGGCAAAGGGCAAATGCCGGGATCTGCACAGGTTGTTGCAGCTCCAACATCAGAGCTCAACATTAAGGCTCAATCAAGCCAGTGGCTATAGGCTTGAGGCCCTGCCTGTCAGTCCACTTGGCCTGAACCTCTTTACCAAAGGAATCAAGCCTCACAGTTTTCTGGGAAGGGTTGTTCCCAAAAGTGGCTCCTGCTTCAGTGACCCCAGCTGTCCCTACACTGTCACTCTCTTCATTATGTCCTTTTAAAGTGCCATATCCACATGCTTGCCAAGACCTTTCCTCAGTGATGGGTCTGAGGCCAGGAAGGTGAGACCATCTGGGAAGCCAGCACTGGCAGAAGTGTAGCCCAGGCTGTGAGACCAGGGGTTAACTGATGGCTAGGTCAGGACAGTGGCCCTGAGATGCTGCTGAAGACAGCACGAGTCGAAGGGCACAGCAGGAGGGGAAGGGCAACACCAGTAAGGACCTACACAGACAAAGGTCTGAGAGCATAAGGGGCTCTGAAAGCCAGGAGCCTACTCTAGCTGTGCTCTACACGGCACCCTCCCAGGTTCCTTCCAGACAGCTGTGACAGGGAGTCCCTGCAGCTGGGGCTGGGCAAGGGGCATGATATTGGAGCCCTGGGAGCTGCAGTGTGGTCCCTACTAAGCCACAGTGTGTGTGTGGGGCGGGGGGGGGGGTGTCATTCAGGCCAGGTAGGATCCCAGCAATATAGATCTCAAAGGCAGGGATCTCACTTCCCATCTCCACTTGGCTACCTCCCAATGGGATGTCAAGCAGGCCATATCTCTTGGGGAGTCCCTGTCAGGAGAGTGAGAATTCAGATGCCAGCTACATACACCACTTGGCTTACAGAAAGTAAAATGAGGCTGCTATCTTGCACTGGGCTTGGAACCAGTAAGAGCCAGCTTCTTGAAGGAAAAGGAACTGCCTGAGGTCCTGGTGCAAGACACAGCCCTGGAACCCAGCATCCTGGCTCCAGCAGAGGATGCTGCTCACTAGACCACACTGCCTCTGGCCACCGCACCATGAGGTCAGGACCTTGAAAATGCCAGTGGGGTGAGCTAGTCTGGTCTACCACATTCCTCAGGACCCAACCTGATGCAGGTTCATACCAGCACCTGCCAACTTGGAGGTTTCTGCCGCTATGGACAGAAGGGCTGGGCTTTTAGGCCTCCTGCCGCTATGGACAGAAGGGCTGGGCTTTTAGGCCTCACACATCTGCACAGACCAGAGCTGGGGACACAACTGGGTGCCTGCTTTTCTGGACCTCTCACTCTCCCCAGCCCCAACCGGGGACAGATGGGTTATCTGAAACTCCAAAGTCAACCTGGAAGGAATGTTTTAGCCAAAAGCTATGAGAATAAAAAGTAAAGGGATGCCTGGGTGGCTCAGCAGTTTAGTGCCTGCCTTCAGCCCAGGGCATGATCCTGGGGTCCCGGGATCGAGTCCCACATCGGGCTACCTGCATGGAGCCTGCTTCTCCCTCTGCCTGTGTCTCTGCCTCTCTCTGTGTGTCTCTCATGAATAAATAAATAAAATCTTTAAAAGAGAGAGAGAGAGAGAGAGAGAGAGAGAATAAAAAGTAAACATAAACCCTGCTCTCTCCTCACTGACACAAGCCTCCCATTAAATAAAAGCGGATATGTGATAAGAGAACAGTGCAACAAAGTCCCTCAGCCCACTCCCCTCCAGCAAAGCAGGCAGCTGTCTCTGAACTGAAGCTCAGATGATATTCCTGTGCTCAGAACCTAGACGCAGTCAGGGAAGTGTGTGGGAGCACATCTGGGGCAGTGGAGGGCTAAGTCAACCCCAGGAGTGAGCTGCTCAGAGCCGTGCACCCTGAGATCCAAGGCCAGGAAGAGCACCCATGTGCCATTCTCCACACTGTGCTCCCAAACCCCCACTTAGCTGGGAGACTGATGGATTGAGGAGGAAGCTTTTACCCCAAGCACTGGGGACAAGGGGGTTAGGGGACCCACAAATCACAGTAACAAAACATTAGATCACTATTTGTTGGTCTCTCAACACTTTATTGGCCAACCTCCCAACTTCCCCAAGGCAATTCCACCCACAGAGACATTGAGCAACCTGCCCTTGGCCACAGTGATGTGATGGAGCCAGACTGGGATCCTGGGCCTGCTCAGCTCTGAGCCAAACTATAGATGCCCTTGTTCTTTGCCACTCCACCCTTCTACCCTCAAGTCTCCTAGGATATATAGAACATACAGAAATGTAGAATCACAGAACCATGTGAAATGTCAAATGCACCTGGGTTCTGGAAGGTACCATCACCTCCCTCCGAGTAGCATTCCAGGAAGAACTATCAGCCAGGCACTCTGGCAGGCTGGGGCCCTGGCCAGGCATCTGCAGGGCAGCCACGTCGTGGCCCAGACCTCTGGATATGCAGGAACCGGGGCCTAAGGAGACAGGAATAAGAGACCAATTACTGCCTAGGTCCCAGGGGATGAGCAGAGTGGAAACAGCACACACTCTCCCTATAGCCAGAGCTGTAGAAAGACAAGTGTGGGGCAGCCCCGGTGGCGCAGCGGTTTAGCACCGCCTGCAGCCCGGGGTGTTATCCTGGAGACCCAGGATCGAGTCCCATATTGGGCTTCCTGCAGGGAGCCTGCTTCTCCCTCTGCCTGTGTCTCTGCCTCTCTCTTCGTTCTCTCTGAATGAATAAATAAATAAATCTTTAAAATAAATAAATAAATAAAAGAAAGACAAGTGTGGGGGTGGAGGTGGGGTGGGTAGAGCTCACCTCCCACAGAAGTCTCTGCGCATAGCCACGAGATCAAGGGACAAGTCAGGCTGGCTCTGAAGCCAGTTGCCAACAAGCTCTGGATGTCTTGGGTCCACTTCTAAGAAGATGCTCCTACATGGGGGAGAAATGGGTCAGCTCAACCAGGCTAGAGCTAGGACCTGCACTTCTGCATTGCTTGGGCAGGGAGGACTGGGATAAGAAAGACTGTTAGGACAGGCCCAGTACACACTGGGACAGATCCAGGAGACCTGCTCTATCCATACCCAGAGTCCTTCAGAATCCAACGTGCCAGGGCCAAGATGTGGATAATGATGTCCATGCCCTCCTCCCCACCGTCCAAGGCTAGTGGGTCTTCATAGCTGAAGGGGAAACAGAGGGAGGTGAGAGCCTAGAACACGGGGTATGTAAAAAGTGTGGAAGAGCTAAGCAGGGCTGTCCACAAAGGGGCCCTATGGAACTTACACTCTCTGCCTCAGAAAATCTGAGGAGCCAGAAGAGGGGGCCCCCAAATGGCAGCTCTGATTCTCCTACCTCCCACAGGCAGCACCCCACCAGGCAATGCTGGGCGTTCTCAGTGAATCCCACTGAGAGCAGGGCATGAAGATCTACCCACAACAAGGTTGTTCCCATGCTTGGTCTGGAGAGGCCTGGAGCTGGCCCAGACCACTCCTGAGAACCCAGAAAAGGGGAGCCAGCACCCTGATCTACATTACCGCTGCCCTGTCCAAGGACTCCTGGGCTACCCTTGGTTCTCAGTCCCTATTTGAGAACAGGATGGCTCAGAGCAAAGCTTGGAGTAGGGTCTTAGTCCCAGCTTTCCTGCTCCGCCCCCACATGGCCCTGGACCAGGCATCTTTCTTCTCTGGGCCTCAATCTTCCGTAAAATGACATACCCATCTGAGCACCTTCTATGTATCCTATACCACATTTGTTATGTCAGTCATTGCTAGGTCTTCCCCATGGCCCTACAAAGCTCTAACACTCGCCTTTCAAAAGCCAGAAATGGGGCTCAGCGAGGTTCAGTGATTATCCAGTGGTCTTAAATGGGAAAGCAGAAGCCAAACCAAGCAGATTTGTGGGCTCCAGAGTGAGCCTCCCTTGGAACATCGCTGCCCCTTTCAGCCCCTTCTCCCTCCCTGTGTCTCCCAGTGGTATAGTCCCCCAGGGTAGACACACAGCCCACTAGACCCTCTCAGGCCCAGCCTCCCTCCCACCACACCCTGCACCTGCGGATCTCAGGGGCCAGCTGCTCCATGTCCTGGTGGAAGACGTAGGGAGGGTTGCTGACAACCAGGTCCACGGGGCCCCAGGGCAGGAGGTGCGCCCAGCTCCCTTCTATGGTCAAAGGGAACATACAGCAGAGAAAGGGTGACAACTCTCCTTCCCACCATGTCCCTTGGGTGTCCCTCTCCCCAAGCCATACCTTGGGCCTGTCTCTGGCCCTGATAACCTAGACTTACAGATTAGTGCCCAGGGTCCCCGTCAACAGATGGGTCAGGAGTGGGTATACTCTGAGATGACAGCTCTTCCCTAGAATATCCTGCCCTCTCTTCCCGTCAAAAATTTCCCCAATAAGCAAAATTCAGTTCATGTGCTACCTTCAGGAAGCCCTCTCTGATTGCTTGGTCAAAGCAAGAGCCTGTGTCCTCTGCAGCTCCACTGGCCCTGCCATACACTGTCTCATAACCAACATGGGTTGAGTGTATGGAGGGCATGCCTGGTCTCAGTTAGTCAATTCCTGGCAACTGTTTACTGGGTCTGTCCAGGAGCCATGTGCTATACCCAGTGTATCACACTCTAGATGGCGCACACAAGGCTCAAAGATCCTACAGATGCGTAATGAAGCCAGAACTGGAGCCAGAACGCAAGGACACTCTGCAAAGGTGTGGCTGAGCCGTACAACATCTGGGCCAGATATGGACAGGGCAGGCAGGCACTAAAGTATTAAAGTATTTTGGTCCTAAAGGCTTTCTCTTGAGCTTCTGTTCATCTCTTAACAACAAGCAAGCCCTAGTTATACTCATTAGTTATGAGGGGTTCAGAAAGTAAGAAAGGTCCTGTGGCCAATCCCTGCATGGGTCAGATCAGCCTATGATGCAACAGGGCCTTGTGTGTCCTCAGCAGGGATTGGTCTGAGATACCCCTATGTTTGCGTGTGCATGTACAAGCACACGTATGAATGAACGTTGGGGAAGCTCTCCTTTCATCTCTGCAGAATCCCCACCCACAAAGCAGTACCCATACCCAGGATCCCCACCCCAGGGAAGGTCAGTAGAGAAAGTACCTAAGGTCACATCAAGGGGGACAATCCGAATTCTGTCCAGCAACCGAAGCCTGGGGAAATGGGAAGTGAGGGTGAGCACGGGGGAGACTCCTACTCATGGCTACCAGGACTATGAGAATAAACCCTTCTTGGACTGACAGATCGCTGGTGCCCACCGTCCCTCATAATCCTGTGGGATCCAGGCTAGGCCATCCTTCCCCGTCTCCCTTTTCTTAGGAGTGGAAAGCAAACGTCAATGAGTTTAACATCTGAATAGGGACTGAGATCAGGGCCCAAAGTTGGATTTCCCCAATTCTGACCTTCTGTTCCCCCTGCCCACCTACCTCTGAGCATTCTCCTCGGTAAGACAGATGGCAGCTTCTCCTTTATCCACAGCAATGACTCGGCTCTGCACCAAAAACAATCAAAGGGTATGTAGGAGGCAGGGTGCCTGGAGAAATACTCAACAGCTGCCCCCTCTTTGTAGCCAGGGTCTGGCCAGACATAAGAAGATGGGAGTTAGAGGCTGTAACCATGATGGGCTGGAGGCAGCCCTATCCTCTCATGTGTGGCCACCTCCCTTCAAGTGCTTCTAGCAGAGATGGGTGGGGAGAGGACCAGTGAGTGGCAGTCCCAGTCTACTCAGGGTGGGGCACAGGGATGCAGAGGGGGCTCACCTGGGGAAGCTGACTCAGTAGACTGAGGGAGATCGCTCCCGATCCACAGCCCACCTCCAGGATGAGGGGGCCATCTTGGGTTCCCATTGCACAGGGACTCTGGGCTACCTCCTCTAGCACCCACTCAACCAACTCCTGTGAGGCAGAGGGATCTGAATCAGAGTTAGCGTCAACCTGGCCTCCTTGGGGGGTCTTTGCAGAGAGGCCCAAGCATGGTTAGCTCTTGTGTGAATGCAGAGGGGGTGACTAAAGCCAGATGGCTTCATCTCCCTCTCTACACCTCAGATTCCCCATCTGTAAAACTGAGCCATTGAGGATAACCAACCTCATCGGAGTGTCTGAGGTACTAAACAGAACCACATTCATGAAACACAGATCCTGTTCCCAGTACATGTTAAGTGTCCAATAACCCCAGCTAGGTCCTTTATAGACAGTTTTCTGTCTCGTGCTCATGGCAATGCTAAGAACCACACCTGATGGTTCCTGGCCACTTCTTCTGTGACTGGCCCTGCTTTCAGAGCTTTCCTTCCTTTAATCTGTTGCATCCTCACAACCAGCTCATGTGGAAGCCAAGGCCCAGGGGTCAAGGCCCCTCCTGGAGCCCAGCTTACAGCTCATAGTGGCCAATTATCAGGAGCCAAAGTTTCCCCAGCTTCTTCCTAGAGCTGAACTTAGGACGCTCCCAGGGAGGTTCCCGGGCCAAAAGGACAGGGAACTCCCTTCATGGGGGTGGGGCATAGTAGAGACAACAGAGTCCTGCCTGAGCCCCATCCACACAGGGCATGGGATAAGTGGGCATGGAGTGATGGGAGGTGCCTGACTGCACCATACCTGTCTTGGAGGCTGGGGGACACTTCTAGACACTGTCACTTTGGAAACAATGGTCTTGTCCACCATCTGCCACCTACGGGGGACTGTGCATGGAAGCCAATAGAGGGAAGAGGTGAGGGCTAGAGGGGGCTACTGCTGCCCAGAAGCCAATCATTTCTAATGAGTAGTGGAGTGAGGCCCCAAGTAGCTGGCATGGGGCATGGTGTCCCTCCTTATCAAAGGCAGTCCTGAGGAGTGATTGTCTTACTTGGGACTCCTGGGATCCCAGGCAGGGCTGGCTCAGGGAATGGGCAGAGGGGTTAGCAAGTGGGTGCTTCCATCATCTATAAAGAAGTCCACCTCCTCCAGAAAGGCTTCCTCACCCCCTGGCAGGGTCTCTCTCATGGTTTTCCTCACCATGAGTCTCAAGTCTATGATGCAGTTTGCCTCTCCCACCAGACTGAAGGCTCCATGATGGGAAGACCAGGGATCTAACCCATCACAGCGAGTAACACAGGCAAGGCCTGACCCTCAGGAAGGCCTCTTGACTACTTCACAAGGGCTTTGGAAAGCTCTTTCTCAGTGATTGTGGGAAGTTACCCTCTGAGTTTCAGACTCTCTCACCAGGTCCCCCCAAACCTCCAATGTCAACAGTCAGGCTCAGTGGCTCCAGGTCGCTCAGATCCATTTTCCATATAAGCTCCTCAAGTGGTGAGTCCCAAAAGGCATTTCACTCTTACAGCACCCCCAATACCAGGAGCAGAGAGCTCACCTGTCCCTAGGTAGCAAGTCCAAGACAAGTAGAACTTGGTCAGTGGGTCCAACCCTTTCTATTCCCTTCACTTGCTCCCGCCAGCGCTGTAGCAGGCACTCCTGGAGACTGTAAGGGTGCTTGCAGCAATCTGGCCCCACAGTGTTGGGACTGACATAGCGCAAGCAATCTAGGGCTACAGTGGAGACTGTGGTGTCAGCGCTGAGGCCACGTACTGAGCGGCTGATAGAATAGCTGAGACTTGTCAGTGGTGTGAACTTCTTTTGGTTTCCTGGCCACTGACAGACCTACTCTGGTTGGAGAATGACCTCTTGACCAGACTCCTCACAGAGACACCTCTGACCTCAGAGACGCATACCACATATATGAATGGCCACCCCAGGCAGCATGTGAAGCTGTAAGACTGGGCCCCCACTGCCCCCAGTGCCCTCTAATCCCTCTGTCATACTCCAGACCACTCGAGCATTATCTTAGCTATGGGACCACCTGGGCGCTAGGGGTAGAGACCACCCGCAAAAAGTCCAGAAACTTTCCTCCTCACCAAGTGAAGAGCCTCCAGCCTCCATCAGCATGAAATTGGTGGCTCTTTAGGGGAGGCTGAAAGCCAAATGGTCACAGACCCAGGGCACCTCCTCCAGGTAAATAAGAATCCAAAACCATGATGGCATGGGGGATGGGAGAATGTGGGGAACAGGCAGCTTTTTGGCTCCACTGGAGCCACTGTCTCAACAAGACCCCAGACCCCCTCAAGAGATCAGCCAAGGCCTCAGCAGGACCTGGGATGGGGGATGGGGAAATGTGGGAAATAGGCAGCTTTTTGGCTCTGCTGGAGTCACTGTCTCAACAAGACCCCAGGACCCCTCAAGAGGTCGGCCAAGGCCTCAGCAGGAACTGAGTGCTCTGAGTACCCTCCATTAGGATCCTCTTGGTGGGCAGCCCCAGGAGGGTGGCACTGTCTCCCACAAGCCAATCACAGACAAGGCGTTGAGCCTCCTACACCCCACAGAGCCTCACCTCTCCAGGTTGGATAGGGATGGCTCACACTCCCAGCCTTGGGTTTCCCACTGTACACACTGGCAGGCCAAAGACTAAGCCACCCTACCACCCCCAGGGAAAGCCCAACTCATTGAGCCACATGCCACCTACACCTTCACATTTCTGACTTCTGCCCCCGTCATCAAAAACTGCCTTTCAGTGGATGGAAAGAACATAGGCACCATGATCTCTCCCCTGCAACTCATTCTCCCTACTCCCTGCCACAGGCCACGTCCTTTCAAGTTCTTGGTAAAGCACCCCCAATGTGGCTTCACAATGGGGCAAACCTGGCAAGTTCTCAGAAACGTCTGTACAGTGAGGTGAGGACCTGGCCTCCCAACCACAGCCTCCCCCTCTGTCTTCCCTTTCCACTCCCCCTTGCAGCAGAGCTGCTCTCTTGGCTCAGACCCACAGAGGAATGGGGGCAGGGGGGCCGATGAGAGCTGGAAGTCCACATCCGATATTCAGAACCCTGGAGCACATGGCTGGTGCCAGATCAGCCCTGAGGAGGACTAAAAGGTTATCACTGTAGTTTCCCTCCCCTGCCCTGACCCTTAGCAGCCTCAGAAGACTCTGAGTGACCTCCCAGCCAAAGTTCACATGCCTGGGAAAGACACAGGGTACCCTCCCAAGAGGCTACAGGTGGCAGGTCACATCCTGCTCTGGATCTCTGCACCCCATCCCAACTCATCCAATCTCAGATAGAGTAGCCCCATGGGAAGGATGGGGCCCCGACTGAGTCAGGAAGTCTAAATGCTGCCCCTATGCTCCTCCCCTTGGCAGCCCTATGACTTCAGGAAGTTCTCATATTCCCTACTGTCCCTCCCAACACTGGGCCGTAAAGTGAGGACCTGGCTTCTCAACCACATGATATGGAAGCAAATGGGGTCAGAGAGTTTCTTGGCTCGGGGGGAGAGGCTAGGAAAGTGAGGAGGGGTTCTGGGTCCCTTTTTGGGCAGGTGAATGAAGCCTGATCTTTCCCAGGAATGGTTGTATGCCTGGGTACATTTCAAGAGACACCCCTGCTTGGAACCTGGTGCCCTCCTGCCCATCAGCCCTATCCATCTGCTCTGCTCTCTCTGGCTCCCTACAAGGTTAGGGGGAAACCCAAGAAGGGCCACAGAGAGCATCTCTCCCAGAATAAGGGTGTATCACCAAGGAATAGCAAACTGGGGCCACACAATCCCTATTAATAGTAACATGAGGGACACAGGTGATTACCTGACCAGACAGTAGATCTAAGAGGACCAAGTCACAGATTCCCTCCCTAGGCTAGAGGCCCTTAGGTTACACAGCTGTACCAGGCCTCTGGGTGTCCTGTTGGAACCCTATCCACTTCACCCATGCTTCCTAAGAAGGAAGACGGCATTTTTTCCCCCACCATGGATTGGGTAGGCCAGGCCTGGGACATGAGGACAGTCAGGGAAGCCAGCAGGAGACCTCAGTACTCTTGGCCCCTCCTACTCAGCCAACCATGAGACACCAGTAGCAAGAGAAGGCCTCTGAGGACAAAAATCATAGGGTCCCAGCGCCCCCTGGAGGAAATACGGGGCAAGAAAGGTGCTCAAAACCCCACTGTTCTTATCCATGCTGCCCTGCCCTGGTAGCACACCTACCTCAGTTTCCGGGCGAGGAATGAACACTGGGGGGGCCATCTTCAGACTGAGCCCTTGAAAGTCCCATTCACCCAGGATGTACTGCACAGGCATCCTGCAGAGGGGGCAGCTGGGTGATCATCAGTGCCAGAGCCTGGACCAACAGGACCACGACTGGGTTGAGAGATACCCCTTGTGGGATACCAGAAATGTCAGGGTCATGCCTCCTGTACCCCAGGACTCTGAGGCAAGGCATTCCCTCCTTCCCTTCTACTTGCCTGATCCCCCTCTCATCCATACCTTATACCAACACCTCCCTAGTCCTTGGATACTTTCTTCCTCCTGACCGTGCATGAGTCGGCCTGGTGGAAACCAGACACCTGTTCCTGACAGAGTCCTCAGGTCTGGCCCATGGGTGCTCACCTTTGCAATCGGCGGCTACTCAGCTCCTGGATGCACTGCAACTGCCAAGGGGTCAGGGGCTGTGTCCAAAGTTCTGGCCTCAGGCTCTGAAACTGCCCCACAGAGAATGTGAGTGGCTGACTCCCCAATCGAGGGTCTGACCCAGGTTTATGTGAACAATGCCTGTGGGCCCAACACCGACCACCTTTGTCATCCCTGGACCCCTACTGCCTGACACACACTGTAATAGTTCATTGGATGAATAAATAAGTATCTACTAAAAACATTCCTCCAGAAAAACCCATCACTCTCAACTCAGCATTCTCAGTGGGGCAGAAATGCCTGGATGTTCTTCCCTAGGTCTCTCCCTCCCTCCTCTTCTGCCCTCTTGACAATACTGCACTTAACTGTTTTGGCTCCAAGGACATGAGCCACGATGTACTCACTGGATGCCTGGGCCTCAGGGATCCCCCTCTTCTCAAAGACTGCAGTCCAGTGGCTGACCAGTTCTTTGGCATTCAACAACCCAGCCAGAGGTAGATGGGGTTGCCATGAGCTGAAGGCCCAGCCCCTGGTCCCTCCCCTCCTCCCAGGGCCAGACAGGAGGGCCCAGAGCATTCGGCCCCCAAGCTCCATATCTTGGGGAATGATTCTCCTGAGCACTCCTAAGTCCGTAAGTCTTCCTTGTGATGTCAGTTGCCAAAGATGGTCATGGACACTGGTTCCTCAAGGTGGTTCTGCTCCAGATGTGGCTGCTGTCCTGGGAGAAGGAAGGAGAACCAGGAGAGCAGCTGAGCCTTGTGTGACCCACTCCCCTCTGACCTGCTGCCTGAGACAGAGCATGCCCTTGCTCTGCTAACCTCAATTCCATTTTAGACCCTCAGTCATCTATTTCATTCTTCTCCTCTGTGACCAGTTATGTCTTCTTCATGTTTTTAGCTGAAGTGGGCTGAATCCGGAGCTCAGTCCCTGGCAATGCATCGTGGCCCAGGCTTGAGGGTTGAACAGATCTGTTCCACCTAATGTGTGTGACCTTGGGAAAGTCATTACTTCTAAGTTCCAGTGTCCTCCTCCATGAAATGGGGGGACAATAACACCAACTCCATAGCAAGCAGTATATTATACAATGAACGTCAAGGGCCAGGAACCAGTTCAACACACAGAAGGCACTCTGTTGCGTGTCCTTAACTACTTACAAGAAAGAGAAGACTGCCTTTGCTTAGGAGCTTTGCTTTTGACATTTTCTTGTACTGTGACTGACCTGTATGCTACCCCCCGGCAACCCCATCTCACCCATAATCCTAAACATCAGCATAAACTGCCACCTTAAAAAAAAAAAAAAAAACAACTGATCACTTTTGTTAACTTTAATTTGTCACAAAGTCTAACAGAAGGGTTAAAATCAGTGGTTCCCCTGGGAAACGAACTAGGTGTGGTGGAAGGGGAGGTTGGCGGGGGGTGGGGGTGACTGGGTGCCGGGCACTGAGGTGGGCACTTGACGGGATGAGCACTGGGTGTTATTCTATATGTTGGCAAATTGAACACCAATAAAAAATAAATTTATAAAAACATAATAAAAAAAATCAAATTAGGGCTTCCCTTTCCCTTGGCACAGACCAAGGTCCAAACTAGCATGTATTGAGCCCCTGCTGGGTGTCACATCTCCAAAGAGAACCTGAAAGAGAAAGGAGGCTACAAGAGGGAAAGCCACTGGCCTACCATCACCTCGCTAGACGTGTCCCACGCAGGACACAAACCCAGGTCCCACGGACTTCAGAGGCGGCTCTGCCCACTAAGCGTTGCCCCAGGAGGCGCCCGAGGTCCGAGGTCAGGGACGCAGCTGCTTCCCTCTCAGCTCTGCAAGGCATTATTAATGACCCAGGCGACGTCGCCTCTCCCCAAGCCCGTTCCAGCATCTGTATAACGCGGGGGGGGGGGGGACTCAAGGGTGTGGCAGTCCGGGGGCCCCGTCCCGGTTCCCATTGCTAGCGCATACCTGCCTGGAGGCTTCCCCCCGCCGGCCCGCCAGGCTGCGCAGAGGCCGGGGCTCAGCTCCCGGATATGCCGGACCCGCGCAGCGCCGAGCGTCGCAGAAAAGGGTCGGGCGGACCCGGCCGCTCAGCTCCAGGGTTCCTAGCGCTCCTGGGTTCCGCCGGGGGAGCCCTGGGGACGCTGCAGCGGCCGCGCGAGTCACGCCCGCAGCCCCGCGGGCCGGGGGAGCGCGTGGATGTGCGGGAGCTGGCTCCCTGCGGGCCGCGACCGGCGATTCTTCCTGAAGGTCACGGAAGGGACGCGGTCGCAGCCCGAGGGGACTACTCCGAGCTGGCGTTTGGGTAGCCGGCCGCGGCGGCGTGCCGGCCGTCCGAGCGGGGGCGTGTCACCAGCCAGCTCGGGTTCGAGAACCCGGGCGCCGGGTCGGTCCGGGGGCGTGGTCTAGCGTAGCCTCCCGCCGGCTCGGCAGCACGTGGACGGATTCCAGGGTTGGGGGCGGGACCCCGCGTCCACTACTCGGCGGAGGAAGCTGCCGGAGCCGCGCTGGGGGCCGGGTGGCCACTAGACCCCCAGGGCCGCTCTTGAGCCTCTTGCTCCCGGGTTTCAGGGTTCAAAACCGAACGCCGGAGACCTGAGTTCGAGTCCCGGCCGTTGGCAGCTCACTCTGTGGGCCTCGGTTGTTCCTTTTACAAAATTCATGACAGTGTCCCACCAAGTGTGGCCTGCGGACGCCCTACCCCACCAGAATCTCTTGTTAAGTAGATCACTGTTAACTGATGTCAAACATGCAGTTTCCTGGACTGGGTCCCAGACCGGAGGGGAAGGGGGGAGGGGGGCTCAGGGATCTCCTTGGTAACAGAAGCTTCTCCGGTGATCCCCATAAACTCCTTTGAAAACCCGAGGATTAGAAGGTATCGGAGGGTCCCTCCCCTGAGATATCGCGCCATAGATGGGGGCTATTGTTAGGGGTATGTGTAGTCTTGCTTGTGTCCGGCCGACCAATAATAATAATAATAATAATAATAATAATAATAATACCAAAGGCTCCCAACTTTTCTGGACTAAGCTGCCCTATTTTTAGCCCGAAGTGGGTGTCGTTTACCAAGAGCCCTCTCAGTAGAGCCCTTCTAAGCAGGAAGCCGAGCCCCCGGGAGGGGAAGCTGCTCGGTCAAGGTAACAAAGCAACAGAGGGGGGAGCCAGAGGTCAATACAGATCCGAGGACTCCCAGTACAGTGCTCTCCCCGAGCCTCCAGCATCCGCCTGCGTCCTGGGAGCACGAAGCCATCGGCGGAGGTGGAGCTCCGCGCGAGTTCTGGGGCAGGAAGGGCTTGGCCACCCCCACGGACCCCCGCCCGACCTCGGCGTAGGCCACGGGTGGTGACGGGTGGTCTCCAAGACCAGAGACCTGGTGTCCGGCTCCTACTGGGGGCGGAGCCAGATCCAGCGGCTGGCGAGAGGGCCAGGGCCCGGCCGGCTGTGGGCCTGGCAGCCAATCCGGAGCCGGGGGCGCGGAGCCGGCGGGGAGGCGAGGCGCCGGAGCGCGGGGGACCCGCGGGGCTCCCGGCCTCGGCCCCGCCCCCGCGGTGGGTCCAGGCCCTGCCTGCCCGCGCCGGGCTGGCTGAGCCGGCGCTCGCGGCTGCCGGCCGTGCGCTGCAGCGGGCCCAACCCGCGGCTCGGAGCTCACCGGGAGGGCGGACGCGGGGTCGGCCCCGCCGCCCGCCGCCCGCCGCCCGCCGCCCCCCGCCCCGGCCTCCTGCCGATCGCCAGCACCCCTAGCCTTTGCGGCTGAGCTCGGCGCCCCAGAGAGGATTAAGTAAGTGCTGAAGCCGCAGCTTCTGTGCAGGAATGGAGGAATCACCGAGTCGCAGAGGCGGGGATGGGGATTGGAGCAGGGAGGACTGAGGAACCTGGCAGACAACGGTATGCGGGTTCTCGAAGGTCGCGGTGCCAACCCATTTCGCCCGTTTCCTTCTCTTGCCCTTTGGACCCCCAGGCAGTCCCAGACAGTGAAGAGCAGGACCTTTTCCCTGCTGTGGACCCAGGAATAAACAGCCCAGAGCAAGAGTTAAGGGTCAGGCCCAAGGTCACGGTTTGGGGTCAGAGGCAGAGCCAAGAAAGAACCTGGGACTGCTGTCGCGTTCAGCCTAGCCAGAGAGAGAGGGCAGAGAAGGATGAACCCCCACATCTCCCTGCCCACCTTGCCCCTTCCTGAGGAGCAATCATTAGTGTGTACGTGCCTCACACACACCCATGCACCTGCACAGGGAGGCACCCCACAAACACCCATGAGCTAGTGCAGGGATGCATGTGTACAGCCAGGAGCTGTGTATCCCCCCGCCCCAGGCCCCGCCCTTCTGCACCTTGGCTGGGACCCTGTCCCACCTTGCCTTACCGGGGGCCTTCTGGCCTGGGAAGATGTAAGCCACACCCTGGTCTGGGCCCATCTCTCACCCTCTGTTCCCAATGGAGGAGGGAGAGGGAGGAGAAGCACCTCAGAGTGGGAGCCCCATACCTGCATGTGAATATATGCTCCCTGCTCCCCTTGTCTCCCTTGTCCCTGGCAGCCCCTAGCTCCCCATGGAGGTCCAGTGACCCTAAGAGCCTGCAGGGAAGCCCTGCCAGAGGACCTGACTTTAGCTGTCTCACCTTCCTGCCTTCTGGTCTCTCCATGCTTACCATCCACCCCCCTCACCCCTGTTCCACAAACACAGCTTGGATTACACAGTGGGCTAGGTAGGGAGCTCCTGTGGCTCCTCTTCCCAAGCTCCAAGAAACAGTTGACTGGGGGGGGGGGGCGTCCATATACTGGGTACTTACTGTGGGCAGGGGTTACGCTGAGCTAAGTCTTTGCTAAGGACCAGTTCATTCTGACATTTCAATGACCTTATGACCTGTGAGGCTGTGAGGGAGGTGGGGTATCGTTTGTTTGTTTGTTTGTTGTTAATCTCTACCTAAGACCCAGGAGATCTGAGACCCAAGAGGTGGAGTGACAAGCCTAGGGTCATCTGATTCTTGGGCAAATGTTTCCCTCCTGGAAAGGAAAAAGCTGCAGTAATTTTTTTTTCCTCCAAGAAGGAGGTAAGGGATATGGGGGGCAGGGAGTGAGGAGGTGGGAAATGTGGGGAGTAGAGGGGTGGAGAAGTGGGTATTTTGCAAGGGAGAGACTTTCTTTCAAATCTCCCGACTACTTTTCATATCTTCTAAGTATGATCACTATGGTTATCATACCCTCAAAGAAGGGGCAGGGCTTCATTTTCACATTCCTAAATCCACGAGGGAGCTATACTTACAGCACATGTCCTGATGTCCCCTGAACCTGCCTTTGCCCTCAAACTTTTATTACCCCAGTACCTCCAGAACTTGGGGGTACTTGATGTCACCACTGAGTCCTGTCCGAAGCCTCATGTTTTTCATTCTTTTCCAGCACCCAGGGGGCCAGGGAGCTCCTTTTCTCCCAGGAGGTGGCAACCTGCAAGTATAGGAAGGGGCCACAGACTGGGACACCACTGATGTCAGAAGCGAGCTGGCAGGTTGACTGACCACAGGCAGTCGCTCAGCCAGGGCCCTGTCAGTATCAGCATGAACTCCAGGATCCCCCCTGCCCGGGGCTGGTTCAGCAGCCGCCCACCCACCTCTGAGCGTGACCTGGAGCCTGCCACAGAGGGGCCAGCCTCCGAGACCACCACCCTCAGCACAGAAGCTACCAGCTTTAATGACACCAGAATCCCTGATGTGGCTGGTGGCACAGCTGGTGTGGGCACAATGCTTCTGTCCTTTGGGATCATCACCGTCATTGGACTGGCTGTGGCCATGGTAAGAGCTGGGAGGCTGGGGCTGACCCAGGTGGCTGCCAGTTGGAGGAGCACGGCTGGTGTTTTGATTTTAGATACTCTAATCAAAAGACAATCGTCTATGAATGATAGCACAGGCTTCCCCTTCTCCAGGGATTTGTCCACTGGAGATCCAGAGACCAGAGGGGCTACCTCCAATTGGAAGAACGAGAGAGGGTTCTGAGGATACATGACAACTTGAGCTGGGCCATGAGGGCCACGTAGGAGTTGAGGAGGAGGGTGTTCCGGGTGAGGGTCCTGATGGGCAAAAGTTTGGAGGCAGGCAGGAGGTTCTGTGAGCATCAAGCAGGATGATGAAGCAAGTGGGGGAAGGGTTGTGATAGGAGTAGAGGCCGGAAGGCGATGGGAATAGATCATGGGCCCCGGAGTGTGCCTGGGCATGGCAGGCTGCTGGCGGCGTTCATTCACTTGGCAGGGATTTCTTAGGCCCCTGCCCTCGACTGAGCCTTCAGCTCCCTAGGGACTAGGGAGACCAAGTCCTGCCCAGTGGTTCTTCTGAGGAATAGGAGACAGATAAAACCAAGGCTGCCAAGGGAAGCCCAGAGGGACTGGGTTGAGGAATTGAGCAGGAGGGCTTTCCAGGCTGGGCCGTAAGGGACAAACTATAGAAGCAATGTTAGAGCTGAACCAACCCCAAAGTGGAGGCCTGGCCCCAGGACCACAGGAAGGAGCAGAACTGGGCAGACCTCAGGATGGAGGGGAGCTGGGGTGAGGACTTGATGATGGATATAATCTTTCCAGATCTGGTGCCTGTCCCTGCAGATATGGGCGCTCCCCCTAATCTGCCACATGGATGCTCAGAATGTCGCTGAGGGCCTGCTGGGGATTGTGCTGGCTGAGACCAGGAAGGGGAGGATGTGCGCCTGAGGTCCCCCAGTGGGCTGACAATGGTTGCATCCTGTCCACTGCTCCTCCAGGGCTCTGATGGCTGGCCTCAGGCTCAGGACCATGTTGCTCTGGCAAATAGGGCTGCGGATGGTCCATCCATAACCTGGCTGGAGCTGCTATTAAACCAGGGTTGCCATATGGGCCCTGTCAGCTCCGGATCGCTGCCAGGGGACAACTGCTGGCCAGTGAGCAGGGCCAGGATGCCACACGCAGAGCGAGTGGCCTCCTGGGGCGAGGGTGAGGCAGAGCGCCAGTGTTTCCCCACAGCCCCCGTGTGGCCGTTAAGCAAATCAATCGAAACAACCTTACCTCAGGGGAAAAGTGGGGTCTGGGATCTGCCCTTGTAACTGTAGGCAAAAGATTGTGTCCGGGAACTTGGGAGGACTCCCTTATGCTTTGTTCTGGAGGAATTTTCAGAGCGCCAGAGTAGAGGCCCTTCTTGCCCAAACCAGATGTGGGAAGATTATGGGACCAAAGCAGTGGAGGGCAGGAAACAGCTCCTGGGCTTTAGGGGACAGGTCCAAAGATGCTCCCGATTGCTTCTGCCTCTCGCCTCATGCCAGCCCCAAGTAGGGCCATGCTGGAGACAAGGAAGAGCAAATGAGTGCCAGGCTGCGTGCCTCACACACACAGAGCAATATGGGTGAGCTTCTCAGAGGAGATAGGATCGTAGCTGGATGGTGAGGGGTGGGGAAAATTTGGAAAGGAAGGTATGTGGGAGTATGTCAGCAGTTTGGGCAGAGGGAGCAGCAGGGGCAAGGCTGGAGATGGGATAAATCTCCGGCCTCTTGTGAAGATCCCTCTGGAGAACAGGGCCTTGGGGCAGGGAGGAGAATTTGGGGCTGGGCCAGAGTGGAGGGAGAACAGGGAGTCTGGGTGCTGGGCTAGTGCCACTGGTTCAGAGCAGGCAGGGGCTAGGCCTGAGACCTGGAGCTCCTCCAGCATCCTACCCACAGGAGAGCATCCCCTGGAGGGAATGGGGAGCAAGGGACACCTCAGTTTCTTTTCGGGACTTTGGGGCTTCCCAGGAAACAAGCAACAGGAGGAACTCTGGGCCAGGCTAGAAACCAAACCAGATTAAAGCTGTGAATGAGGCACAAAGGGTATGAGAGCCATAGAGGGTTTGAGACAGAGTCTAGGGACATGGCTTTCCCCCAGGCAGAAGTGGTCGTGCTCCTGGTGGTCAGAAACTACCAGTTTAGGGAACAGCCCGATGGTGGGGGAGGTCCCTGGAGTCCTTGCCCCACTGGTCAGCCCTTTCTCCCCTCTCTCAATGTGTTATATACAGGGATGTCCTGCTCCAGCCTGGAGCTCTTGGGTCTTGTATGTTTTTTCAGGCTGCCTAGCTTAGGTCTACAATGGGGGTTAGAGTCTAGGGGCCTTCCTACCTTCCTCCAGCATCTGGGTTCTGGCATTTAGTCTGGGCTGCTGGACATCAGCCTCCCATGGAAACCCCGGAAGCCCAGCCCTGAGTCTTGCCTCAAGCACTGCCCCGCAGAGTCTGGCCACTACCCGTCCCCTGTTCTTTTTTTCCCATATTGGCTCTGGCCCTTAAGGGAGTTGAGAGGAGGGGATGTACTAAAATCTTCCCCTCCCTTTTCAGCTGGGAAAAGTCCCAGGCAGGTGCTGAGTGGCTGGAGCTGGGGTGTGTATTGGCAGAGAGAAGGCCCTCTTGCTTCCGGGCCAGGCCTGACTATGTGTTCTTCCCAGGCTGGGCTCCCCTAGCACAGGCCTCCTCCCCCTTGGAAGCCCAGACACTGTCAGCATCTGATAAACATCAAAAAGAGGCACGAATGCAGGACGTGTGTGTCCCTGGGAGGGAATCCCTGAGGACACGGGGACCCACTGCTCTCCTATTCATCAGCCTCAGGCTGTCCCTTCTCCCAAGGATCTGCTGGTTAAACAGGGACGTCTTAGCCATTTGACGCTGTTCCTTCTTTTGCAGGTTTTGTACATCAGGAAGAAGAAGAGGTAACTCCCCAGTTGCCACCCAAAACTCCAGCCTGTTACCAATGTGGAGCTGGACTCCAGGGGACGGGGGTGGGAAAAGAGAAGCCCACCAGCATCGGGGCCCTGCTCCCTTGTTAGGGAGCCAGGTCCTCTTCTGCCTGCTGATGGCTGGGATGACTACTTTCCCTCAGGGAGTGCTGAGCCACCCTCGCCCCACTGCCCCGAGCTACAGGTCACTGACTCCCTTCCCCTGCCTGGACCCCGCAGGCTGCAGATCACACAAGGCCCTGGCCTAGGCGGTCCCTGTAGACCCCACAGATGATGCCTCTGTGGGCTGTGGTCCCATCTGGTCTCAAGAGGGGGTAGCTATCCATCTGAGGGGGGAGGGGGTACTGCAAATACAAGAACATCTTTCCTTTAATCCCAAGGGAAATCTGAGCTTCCCTCCCATCCTCTCTGCCAAAACATAGTTGTGTACTATGGCTCAGGGGGACAGTGGGCAGGCCTGGTAAGAGGAGGAAGGGCCTGCCATGCCCCCAACAGCCTCTGCCCCCACCCCCAGGCTGGAGAAGCTCCGCCACCAGCTCATGCCCATGTACAACTTCGACCCTACGGAGGAACAAGATGAACTGGAACAGGAGCTGCTGGAGCACGGGCGGGATGCTGCTTCCATGCAGGCTGCTGCCTCTGTGCAGGCCATGCAGGGCAAGGTGGGCACCGACCGGGCTCCCCCACCCAGCCTGCAGCCTGCTCATGACCCTTCCACTGCCACCCTCCCTCCTTTCTCCTGCAGCTTTCCAGCACCTGCCATGTGGTCAGGTGGTGCCTATTAGTCATATAAGGTTTGTCGGGTTTGTTTAGCAACTGGTAGAATTTCTCCAAGGCCACCTACAAACTGACTGCACAAGGCCAGGGAGCCCTGGGATCCAGCCCGGCTCTTCCCTGGCTAGCCTAATGATCTTGGCAGCTCCCTTGGTCTCTCTGAGCCTCTGCTTTCTCATCTGTGACTGAAAGTCCTAATTCTTGCCCTGTGTCCCCATGTCTTGGCAAGGAAAGCAGGAGAGGACTGATGGGAGAGATTGTGGAGGGCTAAGAGCCTTTGGCCCCCTGAGGGCCCATGTTTCCTGAATGGATGGGGTCAGATTCTGGAGCAATGGCCCCTCTGAGTAGACTAGTGGGTGCTAGTAACTGACAGACTTTGGGCAGGTGGTGACCCCAGCCAAACTTGCCTCCTAAGTCCAAAGGGTTGGATACCCATGTGGTCATGTGGCCCGCCCACCCACCCACCAGTCCCCCAAGCCCCCAAGGGCCAGAGCACCATGAGGAGGCCTGGTCTTTCCCTGACCCATGAAACCCCTTTGCATTTCTCCTTGCCTTGACCTCACAGGTTGCTGGGGGCATCTGGCCTTGCCAGAGGCAGAATTAAGAGACTGGACTCAGGAAGAGTCCAGACTGGGAGTCCAGAGAACCCCTGGTTTTGCCACCAGTACTGTGGCAACTGATCAGGACATATTCCCCACTTGGGATATTCAGGAAATCAGGCTGAAAACCTTGGTCCACCCGGCCCGTGGGACCACTGACAATTTGACCATTGTTTCCTGTGTGCTTCCCTCTGTCCAGTCCTTGTGCCATAGCTAGGGGATGCGGAGGCGAGCCCCCTTCTGCTGGGAGAGAGTAGTGCATACATAATTAATACAGCTTCTAGGCCCACAGGGAAGGGCTCGCAGGCAAGCTGGTGATGGCTGTGGGGGGAGGAGTCCTCAGAGCCAGATGGTATTTCCAGGCTGACTTGCAAGGAGGGCATTCCAAGCAGAAGGCATAGCTAGTGCCAAGCACAAACAGGCAAACCAGGAAGCAAGGATAGAAGTGACTGGGCCAGAGAGTACATGGCTTTGGCCAAGGTCCCTAATGCCCTTGACATCTCTCCACAGACCAGTCTCCCCTCTCAGGGCCCACTGCAGAGGCCCAGCCGGCTGGTGTTCACTGACGTAGCCAACGCCATCCGTGCATGATTGGCCCGAGGACAGACCTGGACCTCTGGTGAAGACATCTGCCATGGTGCCCCTTGAGCTGCCCACTCCGTGATTGTTCAGACCCACTCTCAGGACCCACACTGCTGAGGCCCAGCTGTTCCAAGGACCCACCTGCTGACTCTCTAGGCTCTAAGAGAGGGCCCTGGCCAGGCTGCACATCTGGCTACTAAGGTCTCCTGATTAGGAAGAGCCACTACTGGCTTCCTTGTGTCCTGCCCAGACCCCTCACATCGGGGTCTGCTCCTCTAATGTGGAGGAAGTGGAGGGAGAGATGGGATGGGAGGCGGAATGGGAGGCGAGTGGGGAGGGGTTCCCCTTTGTCAGGGAGAGACCTGTCTTTGGAAGCTGGGGCCTCCTCTGGAGCAGGGAGGGGCAATCAACCGGGTCTTGGGGACAGGGTGTGGTAGCACCCCGGCAGAAGCCCAGGGATGGAACTAGAACTGCCTGGTGGGCAAGGATGCCAGGAAGAGGGCTGCTCCTACCCAAGGCCCAACTGTATCTTGGAGGGTCCCCAAGGCCTCCCAGTGCCTGCCGCCTCCCCCCTGGCAGCCAGCCATTGGCTTGGTAAGGGGAAAGAAGGCAGGGGAATAGGTGTAGAGGGCCCCAGGCATGTGCTTGTGTGCAGGCATGTGCCTGTCCCAGCACAGGGTAGGAGGGACATGCTCTACATGGGCTCCACCCTCCAAGTCCACCCTACCCCATGATGTGTGGGGTAGCACCAGGATAGGCCGCTTACTCTGCCTCAGTGGTCAGGGACTGAAAGGAGAGGGAAGCCAAGGTGAAGGCCCTGCTGCCCACCACATCACTTCACTGGGCTCTACAAGCCAGGTAACCTGCTTCTGAAAACAGTTCCCCATCCTGGTGTATACTGGGAATCTAGGGTTGTGGGAGAGGCTACCGGTTAGAGGGCAGTGGTCCCAGGCTGTGGGGTATCTGGGGACATTCTGAGCGCCTGAAACGGGGTGGGGGTAGCCCTATGAGAAACAGACCTATTTTTGGATAGCACAGCCCACCCACCTGTCATCCACCCACCCCACATCCCTCAGGAATTCTTCTACCAGTCTGGGGCATCTGGGCAAGGCATGGGACCAAGCCAGACCCCACGAGCTGAGTGACTTTCTACTCTGGACGAAGATGCCCAGAAGCATGCTCTGTGCCCAGCCTCTCCACCATTGCTGCCCTCCGCTGCTTGGAAGGGGACGCGGGGGCGGCAGCACAGCTCCTCTGTCGGGCATATAGCATGTGTCAGGAGGGGAGGGCCAGGGAGACCCATGTGGGGAAGATTTGGGATGTATTCCCTCCTCTGGAGGTTATAAATACATTAGCACTTGAACCAACTGGAGGGCTGTGGGTAATTTAGGATATGCACAGACGCTGTAATGGAACTCAGCACCTCCATGTGAGAGCATTAAAGATGTAATTAAGATGTTTACACAAAGAGAGTGTGAGCCTGTGACACTTGGGGTGTGAAACCCCAGGAGGGACAGGATGAGTTAGGGGCCGTGGGGGGCCTGGGAATAGTCACTTGGATCCCAGCTATGAGCTGGCAGCCCAGCTGGTTTTCCTAGATCTGTCTGATGAAATGCCTCTGGCCCTGAGTTCAGGCTGCTCTGGGACCTTGTGCCTCAGCTGTGGAAAGGAGTCACAATGCCTGCCATCCCCTTGGGTGGCAAGGTCAAGTGGGCAGAACCTTGTGGGGCCTGAGGAAGGAGGGGGCTTGGGCTCCAAGGTGCAGGGGTAGGTGTGATGTCTCAGGATCCATAGGAGCTGGGTCTGAAACAAAAGAATGTGGTCTTTCCAGAGCACAAGGGTTCAGGGGATGGGTAGGGCTGGGAATCATTAAGGTTATCTGCATGGAAACCACCTACAGGGTTCAGAAGGGTTTGGGGAGAATGACACTAGGGTGACCAACTGTCCTGGTTCTCTCAGGATGGCCCAATTTACAGCATTGGAAATCCCACAAACCAGGACTCTATGTGACACCCAGATCCTCCCCTAAAGAGCTGAGCCTTTGGGCCAGAATAGGAAACAAAGATGGGGTGAGCACCCCAGTTCTGTGGTAGAGGGCTGGGTGGAAGGGTTGAGGGGCAGGGTCTTGGGTAACGGGGAGGCCCCAGGACCCCATGGGCCATCCACGTTGGAGTCAGACAGCTGGCATTGACAATGATGACCGTGGTCTTGCAGAGGGGGTCTCCTTCCCCCAGCAGTTAACAGAAGGATTCCTAAGGGCCATAGGGTGAGAGAAGTGGGGGTGGGCTCTGTGCCCCCATCCTGCTGGGTAACCCCTCAATCCAAGAATGTGGGAGCTATAAAAGACCCAATGTCTGAGGGACCCTGAAAAAACCGGGCCTACAGAGTAAGGCTAGCACATAGGATCTAGGGCCGAGGTGGGGACTCCAGGTGGACCCCTGGCCTGCCTCAGCCCCCTTTCCCACAGATGGGCCTAACTAAGTGGTGGACAGGGCAGCTTTTCATGGGTGATGGGGCCACTGCCTCATCCCCGTCCCCTCAAACACCTCCTCTTTCTTCTCCCCACCTTCTGTTTGCTGGCTCTCTTTCTGAGTCCTGGAGGAGAACCGAACTCCCCACAAGTTCCCAGGTCTTCCACAGGGCATGGGGTCAATAAATATTGGGGTGAAAGGATCCAGTTGGCATGTCTTGGTGACCATGGGCCTGGCAGGCTGACTAGAACTCCCCTCACCGCCCTCGCCAGGCAGAGTAGGACAATCACCTGCCTGCCTTCATTGCTCCCGAAATTGTCTGCTAAAGGAACCCCTTGGGAAACGCCCCTGCAGGACACACATACATCGATCGGCGAAACCCCTATTCATGAGTAGCAACCAGGGCTTCAGGGCAGAAGCTAGAGCAGCTTGCAGTGGGTGCCATCAGGGCGGACGCGAGTGGGTGAAGTGAAGTGTCAATACAATACAGTGAATACAATAATCCGTTGCCTCGCTGCAGACAGATGCCAGGGACACCTACAGAATGTAAAGGAAAGGTCTTGTGGACGTGAGCCCCAAAACTCCAGTAGAGCCATCTGACCAACTACTATGGATTCCTTCCAGAAATGTTGCTGAGCCCAGTGCTGTGGTCCTGTCAGTGAACCAGCTCCATTGGTTGGTGCTGCATCTCCATTTGAGATGGGAGGAAGCAGATGTCAAATAGGAAGAAAGGATGAATGTGTGCATGTGTGATGTGTATATATACACAACTATTTGTCTACATGTTTACATCTATATGTAAAAGAAGACAGGAGTACCGGGGGGCAGCCAGAGGTCAAGGGCAGATCATCCCACCCTATCCTGTCCAGTAGCACCCCTCACCAGTCCTCAGGATGGAGGGTCTTGACTGAGGATACCCGAGGGAACCCCAGGAGCTGCTGGTCTGGCATCCCCATCCTGCCTGAGGTCTGTGGGCTGAGTACAGGGGCCAACTGCAGACAGGGGTATCTATGGCTGTACAGAGGCCACTCTTGAAAGGCCAGCCATGCTGAGAAATGAACAAGGATGTGAGCAGAAGGTGCAGAGAGAGGAGGAGGGAAAGGGGAGGGTGTAAAGACCCTCAGGTGAGGCTGAGAGGGATGAGGCTGGGATGCCATCCCACCTGCACCTGGGTCTGCCCTCAGCACTTCTCTAACTCCCACCTCAAAGCCCCTTGGCAGTGATCCTCACCCCCATTCATCACCCTGGTTGCTTGGATTCTGCAAGTGGAAGCTCAGGGCAGGTGTCTGTTCTCCCCAGGGAGGATCATCTGCACATGCCTGCGGGAGCCTGCTGAGGAAGGTCAGTAAGCATGCCTGGGGAGGAACATGAAGGTCTAAAGAATCCCTGAGGTCTAGAGAATTGCTCAGGCCAGGAGGGTGTCTGTGTGAGGAGCCGAGGGGTTGGTGGGACTGAGACCCATCTGGGAAGGGGGGTTCCTTTTTCCAGTCCCCCGTCGGAGGAATGCCATCTGGCTTGGAGACCACCCATCCGGGGCAGGATTTCCCCTCAGCTTTGGAGGGTCCCTTTCTTTCTCAGGGTTCAGCTTGAAAGGTAACTCTGGGTGCCTGGATGAATCCGTGAATGTATAGGCCGCCTGGGATTCCTGTGTGGGCTGCGGAGGGAGGAAGTCCCCAAGTATCTCGCTAGGGACCAACATGCATCATGTCTGATGCCCACAATGGCTTAGGAAGGTGGCCTGTCTCACTCCCGCTTCATCAGTGAGGACTTTGCAACTGAGCAGCGAGGGGAAAGCAGCCCAGGGCTCTGGGTACAGCCGGTGAAGGGCACATCGGGGTTTGGTACAGCCTGGGCACAGCAACTCATGTAACCCAGGCAGGTCTCAATGTGGAGCCTTTCAGTACTAACAACACTGCCTACAGCCTCTAGGGTGGCCCAAGGTGCCCTGAGCCCCTGCCCTCCTGGTCCGTAGCCTGGCGGGTGGCTGGGCATGTCCCAGACCTCTTACACACAGGCATCTCAGAGGAGACGGTCATAGATTCAGCCCAGCTTTCTTAGGCAAAGGCTAGGACTGGATCCCTTCTGAGACTTTGTAGCAGCCTGGATCCCAGCCACCACTACCACCACCCCTACCCCACTTCTCCTCAGGCCCCATCCTTGAATCTCAAGCCTGCACTCAGCCTCTCCCCCACTTGGTGTGGAGAGCAGCCCTCACTCTGCAAGCCCCACATCAGGGGTTCACCTGGCAGGGCCAGGACGAGGGTGAGGTGAATGGGGGCCCCGGATTCCAAATGTAAGAGCCACTCACTCAGGGGCTGAAAAGGCACATGGACCAACCTGAATGTGAGCACCTCCTTAAATTTGTGCCCCACTCGCCTCACTCGCCTCGTCCTAGTCCTGGTGCCACTGCCTGGTCAGGGTCCAGCAGGCAGATGCTGATCCCTACCCACCCCCCCCCATGCCAGCAGGCTGGAGGCCCCAGGAATCTGGGCAGGGAAAGTGAGGGCCCCTGCCCTGCTGGAGCTCACAGACATGCTCTTCACTGGGAGGAGGCTGAGAACACCAGATTATGGGAGATTTAAGGGGCTTAGCAGCAGTTCAATAACAGGTCAATAAGGTGAAGCCTTGGGCGAAGGAGGAGGCCAGGACTCCTGCTGTAAGTCCCTGTGGGCAGGTCAGACCCAGAGTCTATGTGTGTGAACCTCCTGGGACACTCATGGGCAGAATCAGAACCCATATAACCCCCTAGCAGCCCCAGAACAGGGGCATCATTTGTGCCCTCATATCACAGATAGGGAAACTGAGTTTGCTCAGCATGAGGCAGGGCCCGGATTTGACCCCAGATGGCCAGCCCCAGAGCTTACACCCAACATTCCCGAAGAAGGAAAGGAGATTCTCTGAAGACAGAGAAGCCACCTCCTCTTGCCCCTCATTCATTCCCTTCAAAAGCCTCCCAACTCCCATACTAGGGCCTCTGCTGGGCTCTGGAGCTGAGAGGCATCCAGGAGGGGCTGGCCATGGGAAACTCCCACCTGGTATGCAAGCCAGAGCAGTGACAGGGAGAGCAACAACAAACCCTCCTCAGGAAGTGACAAAGATGCAATCAGGTGACAGGAGAATTCGAAAGAGGCCATCACTTCTGGCTGGAGCCAAGGCAAGGCTTTCACCGACCTGGGTCTTGCACCGGGTTTGGACACAGGTGGTGGGGGATGTTTCAGGCTAGGCAAGGTGTAAGGAACCATGGGCTTCCTCACATCCAGGGCGTGAGGGATGGGGATCTCCCCAGGTGACCCCACACTCATGGAGGGCTCACGCTGTGCCGGCTGGTAGGAGAGTGGATCCATCAGAACCTGCTCTGCAAAAACCAGGACAGTGGTGTTACTGATTAATGGCTCCCCCAGACAGACCATACCCATCTCCACTCCCTCCAGAAGGCCTCAGGGGGCCTGGCCCCACTCCCAAGCCGTGACCTTCCCAGGCCTGCTGGAGACAAGGGCACGCAATTCGTAGCCCTTTACCAATATGACCACCAGGTGGCGGTACAGGCCCAGATTTGGGGGCGGGGGGTGTTGGCAGGGGGAGGTGCGCGCTGGGAGGTGGAGGGTGATGTGCTCTGAGTGAAATTTGGCCTTGAGACTTTTTTTCAGGACTCTGAATGGCTGGTGCACTGAAACTGCTTGCTTCCTGCCAGGAACAGGTCTGGACTGGGGACAGTCAAGGCAACTGTTCTTGACTGTGGCCTGAGCCTCCAGAAAGGAGCCCTGTGCATGGTGGGTGCTCAGGGTTATTTAATGAATGGAGGATTGATAGGTGGTTCTTGCCTCATGAGGAATTAAATGAGTTAATATATAAAAAGCACATGGAGGGGATCCCTGGGTGGCGCAGTGGTTTGGCGCCTGCCTTTGGCCCGGGGCGCAATCCTGGAGACACTGGATCGAATCCCACGTCGGGGCTCCCGGTG